GGAAAAGAAAAACAGAAAGTCCACAGTTCCTTGAGAAGGCTATGTTTAGCTGGAAACAAGTTCTTTCCAATCAATCAACCATATATATATATATATATATATATATTAAATAAAAATTCAGTATGATGGAACTTTGGCACAGGGTGGAATTGTTCAGTTTGCTTGGAATTTTCCCCACCACAGTTGGAGGCAATCGGTGCTATTCATAATATGATTTAATCCCCACGAAAACCTCATGAAGATGACTCTTGAGCAGCATCCGTGAGTGAGTGCTCCTCAGAGTGAGAAAGAAGGGGTAATGCTTCCCTGGGGGAGAGGGAAAGTGACCAAATGCAGGGTCCCTCCCTGCTTGGTTGGCTTCTGCCCTTTGGCTCCCTCACTGAGCAACATTAATTTTTTTTTTAAACAAACCTCCTCATCATCCTGCCCTTTCCCCTCCCTCCATTGCTTCGGTAGCATTTATTTACTTCAGACATTTAAGGGCCTCTCGGGCCTGAGAGGCAGCCCAGATGTGACAAGGGACATCGGGTATGTCCTCTACCAACTACACTTCGTACATTTTAACCTATGTAAAGTTCTCTCTCTCTCTCTCTCTCTCTCTCTCTCTCTCTTGTTTCATTTTTGGGCCACACCCAGCAGTGTTCAGCACTTACCCCTAGCTCTGTATTCAGGAATTACTCCTGGCAGTACTTGGGAGACTGTATGGGATGCTGGAAATATCTAGGTGACCCATGTGTAAGGCAAACGCCTACCCACGTACTATCTCCCTGGGCCCCAAATGTATGAGACTTTCAAAACTCACTATCAATTCGGCCCTAATCTTTCTGGGAATAAAACAGCGCATCAATTTTGTGTGTGTGTGTGTGGGGGGGGGGCGGGGGTCAGCTCCAGCTATGTTCAGAGCTTACTCCAGACTCTGCACTCAGGGATCATTCTTGGTGGCCTTCGGGGACTATATGGGGTGCCCAGGATCAAATCACAGTCTGTCACATGCAAGGCAAGTGCCCTACCTATATACAATCTCTACGGGCCCCAAACATATGATACTTTCAAATCTCACAGTCCTCAGAGGCCCATATATAAACTCAATACTGAAATTACACACAACCTAAGACAGTCAGGTGCAGATGATGTTGCATTGTGCACTGAAAGTATTGTTAGCTGTTCTAAAAGGTCTGTGGATTCTCACTGGGGTTTCTTGGACAGGGCACAGATAACGGGGTTTGTTGGAGAACTGAGAATTGGAGAGATCGGAAAACAATATGGGACATTTGAATGTATGATAATGATCATTTGATCACTTGACATCCCATTACTCATCAATTTGCTTGAGCGGGCACCAATAACATCTTCATTTATCCCTATTGCGTGCTAGTGTAGCCCAATGGCGTCTGCTTGTTCTTGGAACATGAAGAGCCTCAAACTGATCTTTCAGGGTCTTGACAAAGAAGTCTGACCATCTTGTATGTGGGAGGCCACGAGATCTTTTGATGGCCATGGAATCCAGTCAGTAATGGCTCTAGTCCAGTGGTCATCTCCAAATCTCATTATGTGTCCAGCCCATCTGATTTTTGACGCCTTGGAAAACAAGACAGCATCCCTGATTCTTTTTTTTTAAATTTTAAATTATTTAATTGAATCGCTGTAAGATATAGTTATAAAGCTTTCATGATTGAGTTTCTTTTTTTTAAAAAAATTTTTATTAGTGAAACACCATGAGGTACAGTTGTAGACTTAAAAATTTTGTGCTTGGGTTTCAATTATACAATGATCAAGTACACATCCACCCATGCCCATTTTCCATCACCACGGATCCCAATATCCTTCCCACCCCCCATCCCCTTCGTCCCACCCTGCCTCTGTGACAGGAGTCCCTGATTCTTGACCATCAATGGAGGTCAGACCTCCGGATTCTTTCTCTCATTTGAGTGAAGTGTGATATTCCAAGCATATCTCTTTCGATTTCTCTTTGGGAGAGCCAAATAGCATTCTCATCCTGTTTTCATAGGGCCCAGGTCTCTGAGGCGTTAATGCAGGAAGAACAGTGGAATCAAAGAGATGTGCCCAGAGCCGGAAGTTCTTTGTCCTCTTAGCAATTTCTTCCATGCTCTTGAAGGCGTTCCATGCTGCTCTCTTTCCCCTGCGCAACTCAGGTGCCAGGTCATTCATCATGTTGACATCTCGACCTAGGTACATGTAACTGTTGCATTAGGAGATGTTGGTTCCATTGAGAGTGAACTGAGCGTCAGGAAGGAGACCATTTCTCATAAACATTGTCTTCATGAGATTCAGCTATAGTCCGACCTTTCCACGCTCACAGTCGAAGACAGTCAGCATTTGTGCTGCTTGGCTAAGTTTGGTGTTGTTGATAATGATAGTATAGTCACTAATACTGCTATTGGTATATAGTGATGATGATTGTATTCAAGTCCTCTCCCTTTTTTTCCTTATTTTTGGGCTACACCCAGTGGTGCTCAAGGCTTATTCCTGGCTCTGCATTCAGGGATTACTCCTGGTGGTGCTCAGGAGTGAACCTGGGTAAGCAGTGTGCAATGCAAATGCCCTCCCCACTCAGTGGACTATTTCTAAAGCCCCTCAAGTTACTACCCTCCTCCCTCCACTGCCTTTGATTTTTGATTTTGGGGCCACAGCTGGCTATGTTAAGGGTTTATTCCTGACTCAGAGATCACTCCTGGCAGACTTGGGGGGCCATATGAGGTGCCCGAGATTGAATTCCAGTAGACCGCATGCAAGGCAAACGCCCTACCTGCTGTACATGGCTCTGACTCCTAATGCCCCTTTGTAAAAAGTCTTTTTATAGATTCTGTAAAAGTAATTTAGTATAGGGAGAAAAAACCAAGATAATAGAAATGAGTTAGTAGTTGTTGAAAGTAATGGAAGTTACACAGGCACTCATTCACTATTTTCTCCACTGTTGTATGTATGTGAACCTTATCATAATTAAAATATGTATAATATTTAAAAGGTAGCACGATTATGGAACCAGAGTGGACCAACAATGTTCTTCAGAAATGGTTGCAGGAGTAAGAGCTTTCTCCTGGACCACATGTCAAGTGACCTTTTCCATAGACAATTCAACTAAAAACTACCTCCCCAACACAGCTATGTCAGAAATAAGCATCCAAGCCTGAGGTGTGTCCACATTTACACATTTATTTGGGTTTAGAGAGACAACACAGATAAAATACTTTGATCATACACAAGTTTATATTTGGTAAGAAGAACAGGTTGCCACATATTTATATTTTTTAATTTTTTCAGTCTTTAGTAATGAAGTAATGTTGGGAAGTTGACATCTTTGATAAACACCAATTGGGAACAGTATTTTGGCACACATAAACTAATAAATACATTGCGTTTGTACTTAGCATTTGAAAACAGAAGAGCACGTGCAAGATGATACCCATGTGAGGTGCCCCAGTTTCTTTTCCGTCCCTGTATTTACACCCATGCTTTCTTGATCCACATTCTAAGGAGCAGTTGCGTTTCCAAAACCCAGCAGGATCGGTACCTGCAATGTGAGCTTTCCTGCACGCTCCATAATTGGTCTCTTCTATCCCTAGAGACCAAGAAGCGCTCACCTTGCATTTTGTGAGATCACGAAAGTCTCCAAGGAGGATTTCTCAGTAGGGAGCTTAGCCGAGGGCAGGTTCTCTATTAGAGCTGCTGTGGAAGGTTACAGTTCAGCAGAGAGAGGGGAGAGAGTGCGTGTAGAGACAGGTGCAAATGTAGTTCTTGTGATATCAGTACAGCTACCACACGGAAAAGGACATACCAGTAATATAGTGTACAAGCTTTTACAGCAAGACATGTTGGTTTGCAACACTGTACAGTTCAGATCTAAAGTGCACAACCCCAGGCTGAGGTGACAAGTCAGGACTATCAATCTAATAAAGGCAACACAGATACACACATGTTAAGTTCCTTTTCTTTCTCATATCCTCGTGACAGCACATGAAGTCAATACCAGTTACATTTCAGGTAAAGACATACCACCCTTTTTTCAAGTATTTTAAAAGAATGAACACAATATTGCTGTATAAAGAAAAATGTCCATGTCAATTCTTATTAAAGCTAAAACCAAACTTTTCAAAAATGAATAAAGAATGGTTCCACATCAAGGCCTTTGACGCTAAGAATTTAGGCTGGTGCTCAAAACTTCCTTCCTTCCTTCCTTCCTTCCTTCCTTCCTTCCTTCCTTCCTTCCTTCCTTCCTCCCTCCCTCCCTCCCTCCCTCCTGAGTTCAGGGTCACAGACCAAATTCTTTTTAATATCTATTAAACTACTGGGACGATGAGGCATTCCTTTACTTCCTTTCCTAGGCTACTATCAGTAGGAATTTTCCCTGCACATATCTGAGAAAGGCTTCCTGCATCACTGGGGAAGGATTTGAAAAGGGCAGGAGAAGGGGTGGGTCGGTGTACAACTATTGGTAAAAATGGTCACAAGTTAAAGAGCAGCGGATTCTAGTGGGATTTATATATAAGGTACAAACACCCTGATGGAGACAGAGAGAAGTCAGTCTGGATGAGGGCACGGAATCCACTGCCTAGTTCAGGCAGGAAAGTGGGCTTGATCACTAGTGTTCCTGCCTCTCACTTGGGTGCTTCTGACTCAAGATTGGTGGGGCTGTCATGGGTTGATTCTCAGTAGCCAATTGTTTGAAAGAAACAGTGCTTGGCCTTTGGACACATCCTAGGGAGGGTTATTCTTTCATGAAATTCTGGGCACAACTAAAGATTTTTCTACAATAACCATAGAGAATCCATTTGCTCCTAAACCAGACTCAAAGCCATGTTCATCCCAGTTCCAGTGTTTTGGTAAATTTTCTCGGAGATATAAGAGAGGGACAAGCTCATGATGATTCAGAGGGTTGGATCTTGGGGTTGTATTATATGGGTTTACTCTTTTGCTTGAAGGATAGCCTCCTCTTTCTTCTCAATAGACCTTTCTGGCTACCTGTCTTTCTACTATTGTCACAACAGAATATTGTCTGCCTTATTTATATTTCTTTCTATTGATATGTTTGGGCAATATAGAAAGGGCACATGATTCTAAATTAATATTCATAGTGCACATAAAGGAGTTCATAATTCCACTACACATGAAATTTGACTCTGTGGTTCCATAATTATCGGCGCTCTCATTCATTCATATTTTCACATAAGATTTTCAGGGGCAAACAGGTGAGTTTTAAATATTATTTTGAATTCTAGGAATCTTAATATCTCTGCCTTGTCTGGTAATTTTTGGATATTGGTTGGAAACCGAAAAAAGATCTCAAATATCTTAGGTTAGAGCTCATTTCATTTTTCTTGAGTAGGAGAGGAAAAAAATCCACCTATGGCATAGAAATTAATTGCTTGGGATTGCAGTGATGGAGAAGCCTAGCGGCTGAGAGTGGATTACAGGAGAGATTTTTATGGCTAAGAAATTTCCCAGGAGGTAAATGACTCCTTCCTGGGTTGTAGCAATATGGCATCAGGATGATGTCATCATTTCACACCGAGAGCTCTTCCCCCAAGGCGGAATTTAATTTTCTGGGTTTGACACATTCTAGAGTGTACTTATTCCTCTTTGCTCAGGCTGATTAGATTTTATTTTACCTAATTAATTTGAACAACCTAATGAAAGAATACTGTTTGGGAAAGTGCCTCAAGAAACTGCATCAACCTTCTGCTCAAAAGAGGCTGAACTAAATAGCAGAATGAAGACATCTATTCTAGTTTCATCCATGTACAATGAAACTTGGTTGGTTATGCTTATTAGAAGGGTCTAATAAGGGTCAACTGGGTTGGAGAACTTAAATGAGAAAAGAATCTTATTCTCAGTCTGGTCAATCCTTTTAGAGAATTTGCAGTATTCTTTCATATTTGTCTTACAATACTAACCTTATAAATTTAATAAGCTATAATATGACTAGAAAGAAGGAGTCTAACTTTGAAGAATTGTGTGGGCCTACAGTTCAAAATAACTTTGCTAAGTGCTTTACTGTGCCTCTATTAAAATAAAGAGAAATAAAATCTGACTTAGTTTTTATATCTGCCCCTGCAGTTTGTATAACCCATATAAAATAAAAATCTATGTGTTACAAAATAGGATTTATTTTAATATATATTTCCTTTTGTAAAATTATATGTATTTAAATACATTTGAAATGTTGCTATAGGTAAATTAGAAATTTTTTTCTAATACTATGAAAAAGGCAAGAGTTTTTATTTTCAACATACATTTTATGTTTACTTTATCCTTTTCTCTGCACCCCAAAGAACCTATGATGATTCAGGGGCATTTTGGCACTACTCAATCTTAATAACTCTAAAGGGAAAATAAAATTTGATTTGCACACTATATTAAATTAAAGGAAGTATTTATAACAATTTTAAGCTTTTCCTTATTGATTAAACACAGCCTTTTGTCACTAATTATCAGAGAGGTATTCTAAACTTAAGAAAGGATTTTTAAAAGGAGCAATGTTTTCTTGATTTTGAAACTGTACTCTACTTTGACACCACAATATAGAAATAGATTTACTTTGGAACAAACTACAAATACATTCACACAGTTTGTGACAACTTAATTGTCTACCTAGAGAATTGAAACAACTTAGTGAACGAAGTTATAAATCTTGTCCAAGGCGTTCTATTTCTTCAATCAGGAAGTCAATGTCTTGGTGAGTTGCTGCGGGATTTGAGATGACCATACGGAAGAAATTGACCTTGTCAGCCAGGGGCTGATAGCTGACCATTGTGGTTCCATACTCCATCATTCTGGCTTTAATCACTGGAGCCACCTATCGGAAAGACCAGGTTATTACAAGTTCTCCCATGGACTGCACTTAATCAAAAGGAGCATTTTTAGTTTATAACAACATTAAGAATTACTTTGTTTTCTCTTGATGAAACTGTATTTCATTTTATGTGATAAATGGACTAAATCCAATACATTCAAGATATTGAAGGGGATAAGAATACTATACACTTGACACGAAGTAAAGATAGTACAGTGGGAGGGGACTCCCCTTGTGCATAATAAACCCAGGTTCAGTCCTGGTACCCTATAAGGAATGATCCATGAGCACAAAGCCAGGAGTAATGAGTAAGTCCTGATAACATCTGGGTGTGTCCCAAAAACAAACTATAAAAGAAGAAGAAAAAAGAGGAGGAGGAGGAGGAGGAGGAGGAGGAGGAGGAGGAGGAGGAGGAGGAGGAGGAGGAGGAAGAGGAAGAAGAAGAAGAAGAAGAAGAAGAAGAAGAAGAAGAAGAAGAAGAAGAAGAAGAAGAAGAAGAAGAAGAAGGAAGAAGAAGAAAGCGATGATGATGATGATGACAACAGCATGATAAAATCAGATATTTGTTATCTTACCCTTGACTTTCTAATTCGTCTACCTGAGAAACACAACATTTAGAAGCACCCTCTCAATAGGTGTCAAAACATTAAAACTAGATTAAAATGGTAAAGATAAATAAATAAATCCCAATATAAGAGATATAGAAAAACAAGCAAATTTTTGAACCACTAAAGCTACTTTCTTGAGACTCTTTAGTTCTCAAGTTTCTTTTTATTTTGCATAAACTCAGTTTATATTTTGAGATGTGTTTCTTAATATCAGTTGAGGCAGAGAGCTGAGGCCACCAAGATTTACTATCACAAGAGTGGATTGCAGAGAATTTTGCCTATTTCTATCTGATTATAACAGTGCCAGCAACCTTCTATTGTCTATGAAATTTAGTTCTGACTCTCCAATTTGGCACAAAGACCTTTGCTTATCCAGCTCTGCAAAATCCTCTTCTAATGCTCATTTAAAATAAATCTCAGCATCCCATGAATATATCACACATATTTTACCCTTTCGCCCATATTTTTAATCTTGCCCTGCCACACTTTTTCCCTTTTCCCCATTTTTTGGAATTCCTTTTCTCTTCCAGCTCACATTCTACACACACACACACACACACACACACACACACACACACACACACACACACACCCCAAAGTTCCACTGCAGTTCTACAATCATGATAAAATCTATAATTGCCATTGTCTCTGAAGAGATTCTAATTTCCTATTGTCCTCTGAGTTATGAGAAAAGACATTTTATCTGTCTGCTTCAGCTTTCAGCTTCTTGAGGGCCAGTCCAGTCAGTCTGGCTTCTTTTGTTTACTAGTGTAAAGCCAGGTGTATGTTGAGGGCTGCTGAGTCCTTTCTGTCTGAGGAACAGCATAATAGAAACAGCATTCTACTATGGAACATACACTTATGCACTTAAATTATTACCCCGACCAGGTCTGTGATGATTGCAGTCTGTAAGTAGAATATCTGATCTTGTAAGTTCATTGCTGTGAATATGTAGCCAGGAGTGGTAAATTTGAGGAAAGTGTTAGGCTTATTTTAGATGCACATAGATAAAAACTCAGTCCAAAATGGGAGTCAACAGATAGAGAAGGGAGCACCAAATAAAGGGTGTTGGGAGAATCCTCCCAGGATGGGAGAAGCATGCTAAAAGTAGACTGTAGACCAAACATGGTTGCCACTCAATGCCTCTTTTGCAAACCACAACACCCAAAAGGAGAGAGAGAACAAAGGGGAATGCCCTGCCACAGAGGCAGGGAGGGATGGGGGGATGGGGGGTGGGAGGGATACTGGGATCTGTGGTGGTGAGAAATGGGCACTGGTGGAAGGATGGGTATTTGATCATTGTATAATTGAAACCCAAGCACAAAATTTGTAAGTCTACAACTGTACCTCATGGTGTCTCACTAATAAAAATTTTAAAAATAAATAAATAAATAAACTAATATAGAAAACACTGGTGCAAAAAAAAAAATGGGAGTCAGGCCTTATATCCTAGTTGGAGTCATCTTACATAGATGATGACTAGATCCGAACGAAATGCTGTTAGAACATGTGACTTTAGGGATATTGACACTTACATAATTATTGGCTTGCAATGAGGTTTCATATTCAAATTACTCATTGCACAAAATCAACATAGTTCCTGTCAGGCTTGGTTATTTGTTAGCTGCCAAAGCCAGAAATCACTGTCACTTTCATTTCACCTTCACTTCACATCACTTCACTTAATTTCCTCACTGAAAATCAGTGTGGACGCTGATTCCCAAACTGAGACTTTCTGATTCTAATCACAAATTATTTCCTCTCCTGTCACTTCCTTAAACAAGTTAGAGGTAATGCAAATAAGAATGCTTTTGTTAAGTTGATTCATCTTTTACCTAAAGTATTAATTATATATGAACACTGGGATTATCCTAGGAAACAATGTAAAAAGGAGTTTAAATATCTCAACTCTTGGGATATGTTTTTAAAATATACCTACCAAAGTATTCTAACCTTACTATGTGAAATTAATTGCTTTGTGCTATGAGGCACAGCAAGTCAACATGCTTGTAGGAAGAGAAATTCCAAATTAGAAAAGGAATTCCAAATTCAGGTGTCTGAAGGAATTTAAGAAAATGATTACATAACTATTTTTTGATTTTCTTGGCATAACAAACAATGCTTATTCTTCAGGACTGATAAAACAACAATGCTCAATTAATTCTATTCTGATAGAGTTTTCATGAACAATCAAAGCAAAAAAACCCTTAGGAACAGAACTAAGTATTAAAGACAGCCATCTCAACTTTTCAGATAAATGTAAATTAAAGACTGGAATATTAATAGTAACAGTCATCTTAAGCTGATGTTACCCTAAACTGAGATAAACTCTTCTTAAATTCTGACACAGCTGGGTTAGCAGAAATCACAGCTGTCTAAACAGATAGGACTTTTGGTTGCTTCCAGAAAATGATGATAAGCTAAAATTAGAGGAACATGGTTCATGTACTTCATTGCATAATCACTAATTGCAAGTCAAAAAATGAGATTATAACATTTCTGATGATAACTTTTCTGATAGTGTTCACTTATTTCTAGACTCTCTTGGGGATCACATTCTTAGTCTTATTGAATACAGAAAGCCAGTTATAAAAGAGAGGTACTTTCTATCGAAGAATTCACTAGAAGTCTAATCAATAAGGATCTTTGAGTGACCAATAGTGTTGGGGCAACATTTTCTCCTTAGAAATACTAGCTTTTTAAAATTCTTTAGAAATGATAGCCAAGGAATTCTTCCATAATTGAATCCACATTTGTATCTTCCAAATAAGGTCCAGATGAAAGAATCAGAAAAGAATCTTACAAGCTATCAAAGGAAGTCATTGTTTACTAAGCAGTTCAAAAGTATTTGGTTCTTAAATATTGGAGTCTGAAAAAATTTTTGAAAAATAAATTTTTTTGCAATACCTGGCAAGGGCCAGGAGCCAGAAGGGGTTACTCCTGGCTCTGTATGCAGAATTACTCTTTGTGGTACTCAGGGGACCACTGAAAACTGATTTTTATAAAAGAGTAACTACAATTAGATATTCTCAAATGTTATGCTTTTACCAAGCTTCTCATTACATTTATTATTATTTTGTTTTTGGACCACACTCAAAGGTGTTCAGGGCTTACTCCTGGCTCTCTGCTCAGGGATCACTCCTGGCAGTTCTCTGGTAACTTCATGCAATGCCAAGGAGGATCAAATCCAGGTCAGCTGTGTGCAAGGCAAGAGCTTTACCTATTGTCCTATCTCTCTGGGCTCCCCACTCCATTCCATATTACATATGAGTCCAAACTCGTTCCTTATCAATTTATTTTTAATTTTAAATTTATTGTTGAACTTTTTAAAAAAGAAAAAAAGAAGTTTTCTCTGGAAGTTCTGAGGAAGAGGAGAGAGAAAGAGTATAATACACTCAAGAGAAAATGTGGAAGACTGGGAAAGAGAACCAGTACACATCCCGGCATTAAATATGAAGGTATGAAAGTACATATCTCAAGAGGAGAGATGTGGGAGGCATGGGCTTGGGAGGCACCCGGGCAGCTCACATGTGCCCACTGTTGATCCTTTTAAAGCCCATCAACCAGTAAAGGACTATACAATGTTGACTGCAGGGATGCAAATAATGCTAAACTATAATGGAAATTCAAATACAAGATGATAATGAAGTGGAGTCAGAAACATAAGACATGTTTGGTATAATTAACTCTGAAATTTTTGGAGGGGAGTGGGGGCGGTAGGATTGAGTCACAGCCAGCAGTACTTAGGGCTCACTCCTGCTGGTGCTTGGGGAGCTAGATGGTATTGGGGCTTGAACCCAGGCCTCTAAGATGCAAAGCATGTACAGTTGCCCATTGAGCTAATGAGCCAGCCCTCGCCTGTGAGTTGTCGTGGCATCTAATTGCTGCCCCTTGCTTGTGTCTGGAATCTGAATATGGTACTGGCTGCCAGTGACCTCTTGTCTTTGTCTCAGTGACAGGCCACTGGCTCACTCTCAGTTCTCACTCTCAGTCCTCAGCAAGAAATGTACAACTGGATGGTCCCCTTTACCTTCTAGCATTGTGTAGCTTCCTGTCCACTGGTTTCCTGTTCCCTTAGCCAGTCTGAGCATTAGGAAAAAGGCCTCTAATTCATCAGTTTCCTAAGCATTGTTTCCTTTCTTTATATTCTAGGATACGGTTGCAACAATAGAGGAATTTTCTTTCTGCCTACCATTTGATCGGGGTATCCATCTCAGATTGAGCATTTGAAATATGATCAGTGGGGTGTGGTGAATTTTCACCAATATAATAGTAATTGGTTTAAATTTAAATAGTCACATGTGGCTATTACTACTAGATTGGTTGGTAAATATGATTTATTTAACTTTAGTTCTTTTTACTTCTTTTTATTTCTGGGATTGTGGGGTGTGTGTGTGTGTGTGTGTGTGTGTGTGTGTGTGTGTGTGTGTGTAAGAGAAGGGTGAGGCAGAGAAGTTTTATTGGTACCTGGACATTAGACTTAAGGGCTTCATACTTAATAGGTATTGTCAGTTTCAGAACATTAGAGAGAAAATTTTCTGAAACTGATGAATAATTGACATAAATAAAAGCTACTTTTGATGTGTCATGTAGATCTACTTTCATTTCTAATTCTGAATTACTAAATTCTCTTTAGAGATAATAAAATGGGATCACAGAAGAGGAAACAACTAGGAGAATTTATTTTGCCGTCCCCAGAGATGTCCAAATTGCAATTATCAATAGAATAGAACTTATTTACTAATATTCAAATTACTGTTCCCAGAAAATTATCACTCCCATTCTAGTTTGTATGACATGCTAAAATCTAAAAGGCATTTAAGATAGGTACATTTTCATGGGGATTCTCAGAGTTCATGTCTACTCTAAAAAGCAAAAAGTAGAAAAGAAATTCCTTTCTTCTCTTTCTCCATCCTTCCATCCAGCAATAATGAACCATCAGTAAATGAAGTGAAACCAATTCCTCTGTGGATCTGGTCAATGAGTTCACGGAAGAAATAAAAGTCAACTAAAATGGAAACAGCTAATTTCAAATTAATGTATTAGATAAAGTCTATCATGGTTCAGATAATCCATAACGGAGAAGCCACCATAAAACACGGAGGGGGAAAAATGAATTCTTTCTGCTCAAATGATAGCAGCCTTCATGATTACGTGTGTCAGTCTACTCGGAAATTATTCCTGCCCTCTAGCATCTTTAGCTTGAACTGGATGAACCAACTGTACTAAGATTTCCAGCATGACCATGATCTTTTTGACCTTAAACACATGAGGCTGGAGTCGCTGTTCTAGAAGTTTTCATTTGTTCCTCTAACTCAGTGACCTTCAGCCTACATATTGTAACCCCCTGGAGAACTTTCATTTATTTTTTATTTTTTGCTTTTTGGGTCACACCCAGCAATGCATAGGGGTTACTCCTGGCTCATGCACTCAGGAATTACTCCTGGCGGTGCTCAGGGGATCATGTGGGATCCTGGGAATTGAACCCAGATCAGTTGCGTGCAAGGCAAATGCCCGACCTGCTGTGCTAACTAACTAACTAACTAACTAACTAACTAAGAGGGACTAACTCCAGCCCCTCTTGGAGAACAAAAGTTCTCCATTACGAAGTCATGGCAAAAGAGGTCATATCAAATTTTGGGGGTAAGAGTTAGTCATCAGTGTTTTTGTTTCTTAAATAAAGTTTTAGGTTGAATTCATATATCATCATGGTTGCAAATCCAGAGATACAAAGGTCTAAAGGTTTAAAGGTTTAAAGGTTTAAAGGTCTCAGCTTAGTGTTCATTTCTTCTGGGGAGGAACTTGATCCTGTATTGCCTAAGGATGGGTGCTAACATTTATTAAGTTAGTCTGGAGGTTTTCAACTCACACAAAATCTAGTTCTTTTTTTACATGCAAGGAAATAAAGTGCTCTAAAGGTCAGTGAGTCAGCCGGGACTTCTTGGCCTTGGGGGAGAGAACTTCTCCAGCTCCAGGCAAGGATTAAATTGACTTCCTTTGTGATAAATGGAAAACCAAGGAACTGAGCCACCCCAGCAACCAGCTCAAAAGTCCCCAAATACTTGAGGCTCCTTAGTTTTCTGTGTCTATGGGTTCTATTTATTCTTTACCTCCCTTCAAGACTCAGTGTACATCATAAATCAAATTTCACCCATGAGCAAATGGTAGGGAAGAGAGAATACAGGATAAAAGTACTTTAATGGTCATAATAGGCTTTTAAGCTCAAGCCCTCAGGTTGTGGAGGCAGGGATTTGGGGGAGAGACTTTTCCTTCCTGAGATTCAGTTTCTCCATCAGCAAAATGGGGACAACCATGCTTCCCACCTCAGGTGCAATGATCCTAAGATGATAGTAGGATTATTATTATTGTTTGTTTATTCCTTTGCTTGTTATCCTCTGATAACAGCTCTCAAGACATCACTTGGTAGTTTTGAGTCTGATATCTTGCGAGACAGAGTAGTGGTTTGCCCTCTAATGCTAAGCTTCTGGCAAGTCTCCTCTATGCTTGTCGCTAAACACCAGCTCCTTCTCTAGTCAATTTCAGCAAGGAAGTTGTTTCTTGTGGCTGGTGATGCCCCTAAAGGTTTTTTCCTAACGCTCATCATAAGACACCATGAGCTTGTTCTCAGAAAAGAGATGTACCTTTGTGAAATTTGGAGATAGAGCAGCTTTATCTGATTGGGTGGTACAGGAACTCACAAACTCACAGAGGCTTATGCTTTTCTAAAGACCTTTGCATGTGTGACAAAGAGGGTAGGAGATGAAAAGCCCCAGGGACACAGCCAAGCACAGAGAGGAAAGGCCTGAGGGACACAACCAAGCAGGAGATGGTAAGATTTACCTTTGAGAGGCGGCTCATTCGTTCTTCATTGTCTTCCATCATCCGCAAACTGGGTGGCACATACCAGAAACAGACATTTGTATGCTGAGGCTACAAGGAGGAAAGTCAGATATCTACTCAGTACAATTGGCAACTTGGGAAATTCTAGAGACATCGCAAATCTATTCTACAACTTTCCAGTACAATTCCTATGTAGAAATTTGCCATCACCTCTGGAGGGCCTGACTTGTGCATTCTACTGAGTGATGTCTTTGTGCACTTAAATTTTTACTCCAGCTCCTAAGATCAATCCTGTGGTCCCTGCTTTTCCTTTATTCCTCCCTCTCCCATTATCTTCAGGGTTCTCTACTGACTTAAAAATGAAGGGGTATATACAGTAATTCTAAGATCCAGGGGCGGGGATGGAAATTACAATGCCTACCTTTCCATCAAACACCATCTCATAGCCTTCTCGATTTTTGATGATATTGTACAAATACTCCGCCAGCTCCAAACACTTATCAATATGTGCTTCAAATCCAATAGTTCCCTAAAAGAAGAAGAAAAGATAGTAGGTAGGCTGAGAAAGATGGGTGAAGCATGTGGTAGCCTAGAGGCAGGATGGCGCCTTCTGGACACTCATGGTCTCTCTGGCTCTTGGATCTCAGCTCTGTTTACAGGGATCTCTGTTTCCCAAGCTTTCCTGGCCACTGTTTCTCTTTAGTACTCTGCCCCCAGGTGCTTTTGTTCTTCTTCACATCCGTCAGTAATGCTTTCCACAGAGGACTCTTTTGCTTGCTTGTTCTATCTCCATTCATTCCCCAGGCAATTAATTTGATTACTCAAGAGGAAAATTTGCCTCTGTCATTCACAGGAGTCATTATGGAAGTCATTAATGACAAGAGGGCTGGGCTATTCTCTTCCTGTGGAAAGGAAGCAGCACTGGAGTCCTACCCCAGGATGCTTACTTAGCCCCCACCTGCCAAGTGACTGTGCCTTTTTCAGACCCCAGTTTTGCTCATCAAGGTACACCTATAATTGAACAAATAGAATACAGGCTCTATGACTCTTTTTGAACAAAGGAAAGAAGAGATCTGAAGTGCCATGCAGACACTTTTTTCGCTATCATTCGAAAAAGCTCAGAAACATTTCCTTTGAGAATAAATGATTCATATGTCTACAATAGGCAAACATTATCACGGAGGTCTTTGTTTTTGCTGTTTGAAAGACAGAGATCTGGACTCAGTGGAAAACAACAGAATCGCCATAAAGTGGAAGCTGTTTAATTGACGTTAGGACACTCTGGGGAGTTTCTTCTCAAAAATGCTTTCCCTCCTATCTCCTTCAGCATTTGCAGAGTACTAATGGAGAACTGAGAAAAAACAGTGAATGCTCATCCCAGGAGCACTTAGAACTGGTCTGTCAGTAATTAATGTGGAAAGTAGAGGGAACAATTGCAATGGAGGTAAGAGATGCCCACTTTTCCATTTTCCAGTCCCAGAGCTCAGTGGGAAGTTCATCCCAGCACAAAGAGTGGCTTTTCACATCTGAAGCCTCATTCAGACTAAGCTACATGACAGTAATCAGATGAGTTCAGAAATTCATACTTTAAAGATTGGTACTCTAGCTAAAGTTGGATCAAGGTGGCTGACTGGTTCCTGATAATCACAAGAAAGGGTCTGGATTTCTTAGGCCTGCACCCAAACCATGAGACAATGGATACTAAGGCTATCAGGATTGGTTTGGAATGATCAGGGACTTGGATCCCCTTGGGGTAGCACCTACAGTGAAGGGAGGAAGTTAAGTGTTCCGCAAACTGGATGCTTTGGGTAACTTAGAGTCATAGCAGAGTGGGTACAGCATTTGCCTTGCATGCGGCCAACCCAGGTTCGATTCCTCCATTCCCTCTCAGAGAGCCCAGCAAGCTACTGACAGTATCCTGCCCGCACGGCAGAGCCTGGCAAGCTCTGGTGGCATATTTGATATGCCAAAAACAGTAATAACAAGTCTCACGATGGAGATGTTTCTGGTGACCGCTTGAGCAAAACAATGAACAATGGGAGGACCGTGCTACAGTGCTACTTAAAACTGCATATGCCTGAGCCAGCACCAGTGTAACTCTGACCTCTTCCAGTATATGACCTCGACTTATCCCTGAGCACATGGGAATGAGTTGTCTGGTCAATGGTGAACACCAAGGAACCATAAGGTCAACTCAATGCTCTGTCCACACATCAAAGGGACTGGGAATCTTCTAGGTTTTGCGAATCTGGGATTTCATGGTGGAGATAGTTATGAGTACTCTGACCAAGTAATCTAATCTAAACCTGCCCAATTTTATCCAAGGCTAAAGAGGTAGAGGGGAGCGGCCCTATCATATGTAATACATTCATCACTTCTAGAAAAACAATGGGGGGAGGCATAGCCCAAGTAAACTTCATGTGCCCTTGGAAGACTAAGTCTCCTTCCATGATGTTGGCTATGTGTGAGAGTAAGATCTATATTTTATTTCAAAGTTAGTTTGGGGGCAGCCCCCCTCAGGGGTTGCTCCTTTGGTCCTCAGAGAACCTTACAATGCCAGGGATCAAATGTAGACCTCCCAAATGCATTAAGCTATCTCTGTGGTCCTGTTTTCAAGGAATAGACAGATTTTAGTACTCTGAAAATTCATTCATTCATCAAATTATTATTAGACAAATACCATATGCTGCCCAGTTCTTCCTTTGAGAATGACAAGACCCCCTGTAAACCTCAGGCACGTGAAGCTAGAGGCTCTAATGCAGCCTGCTAAGTGAGATCCTGAGCTCCTGGAGGGTCAGGGATATGCCTAGCTGCAGGAGAAAGATGTCCTCAAATCTCAGATCTAATATAAGGCAGAATAAGGAGAAGGTCTATCAGGAAAAAGAGAGTTGAGAGAGGGGCAGGCATAGGGCTTTGACAATGGCAGTCTCACATACTGGTGATACGAAGAATGCCTTCTACTATCCTAGTTAGAGATTTTGTGCTTGTTCACTCTGTGTGAATTTACTCTAATCAAGCTATCTTAGACTTAATATGCTGGCCAACACCAGTACATTTAATTATCCATGAACAGGATAGAGAATTATAATTTATACGAAGGCTACTACTTTTCACAGCATTTCTCTTATTAAGGAGAAAAGGCGGCATCACTAGATCTTCTTCTCTAGGTAGGTCTGATAACAAAGTTTATTGAAGTAATATTCTGCTCCTCCTGCTCCCTCTCCGTCCTCTCCTTCTCATTGTTTTATATATCCCAGATTATTTACTCATTGCCAAGGAAATGCGAGACAAACTATGGATAGACGATCAGGAACTCTGGGGTACTTTACTTTGGGGAGGGGCTGCCTTCTTCCCTAGCTGACACTAACAGAGAGCTTTTGAAAGGAGAGGTTAATTATCCTCACCTCTGATATCAACTGTAGAACTGAGACTGTTACTTGAGTAGGTAAAAGGTAAAGGCCCTCCCGTTGATCATCGATTTGCTCGAGCGGGCCCAGTAACGTCTCCATTGGAGACTTTGTTGTTACTGTGTCTGGCATATCGAATAGCACTGTGGGTAGGGCGTTCGCCTTACACGCGGCCAACATGGCCGACCCGAGTTACTTGAGTAACCTCTATAATTTCAATTTGCTTAATGCAGCTTTCAGTTGAAAGTCAAATAAAAGATTTTTCTAGCAATTGTCTACCATAGAGGCAGGAGGAGGGGTGGGATAGGGGTGGGGGTGGGGTGGGAGGAATACAGGGGACATTGGTGGTGGAAAATGTACACTGGTAAAGAGATGGGTGTTCGATCCTTGTATGACTGAAACTCAAACATGAAAGCTTTGTAACTGTATCTCATGGTGATTCAATAAATAAATAAATAGATAAATAGATAAATAAATAAATGAATAAAGGTTTTTCCAGCTCTTTGTCTGGATATGTAAGTTTTTGCATAAGGAGTTGCAGATTTGTCCAAGTTTTTCTCTTTTTATCCTCTTGCCCAGTGCCTCTATTTCAGGCTTCATTAGGTCCTGCTGTTTAATTCACACCTGATGTCCTCCAAGTCATTTCTCTCAGAACCACCCAGCTGCACCATGCTGACAAGAGGCTTCAGATGGAAAAGGAACAGCAGGAACTGATGAACCATGAGAGAAACAGTTTTTGTAAATATAGCTAATTATCATCCTCTTAATAAAAAAGCCGCAGGAAAACAGGGACACAAAAACTGAGACTAAACAATAGTTAGCAATCAACTTATTTTCCTCAACTTAGTCTCTGATACTTATTTTTGTAATTTTGGATTTCTCATATAATTATGAAATTTTAATTAGATGAAAATAAATAATAAAATATGTAATAAAGTTAAATATTTTATTTTATTATTATTTTTTATGGGGTTGGCTCTCAAGAGGACTCAGAGGGTCCAGGGCCACTCTTGGTGAAATTCTCAAATTAGCTGAGATTTCAGCAAGTCTTTTAATTTAAAATACATTTTCTGTAGCAGGTTGAAAATGGAGCCCAAAAAATAGTTATTAACTGTTTGTGTCTCTCCAAATCCTTCTGTTTCTTGTTAACCATAGCCCTCTTGAACTGTTTGAAATGCTTAAGGTAATTCTTTGCATTTAATTCTTCTTTTTTTAAAAATTTTCTCTTTTTGGGTCATACCCATCATTATTCCTGGCTCATGCATTTAGGAATTACTCCTGGCAGCGCTCAGGGGACTATATGGGATGCTGGGAATCAAACCTGGGTCAGCTGTGTGCAAGGCAAACACCCACCTGCTGTGATCCAGCCCCACATTTAATTCTTAAAAAATAAATAACACCACATAGAATTTATTTCTGTGCACATGGATCATATGTCTTTATATTGACCTAAAATAGGCAACCAAACCTCATTCCTTCAGTTTCATTCCAGCCAGTCATGTCATATTTGCTTGTTCTTGGGATTGGACTTGCTACCTTGTCGAGTATGCTACTTAGAAAACAGTGAACCAGGTGGCTATCCATCTGCCACTCCTATAAGCCCCTGGCACACAGCAGCTTCCTCTTCCTCTCTCCCTTTCTATTTTCATTCCTCAAGCTTCCCCTAACTGTTCTTTTGGCCATTGGGTTTTTCTGGTAGGTATAGCTGGCTCTGACCAACTTTGGGAAATCAATGCATCCAGAGAAAAGTCACTGATTTGTGCCCTTTACATTGGAAATCTGATCCAAATGAAAAATAAAGTCTTTTGAAGTCATGAAATTTGCTTCTAAGTGGATAGTCATGGAGAGTATCATGCTAAGTGAAATGAGTCAGAAAGAGAGGGAAAGACATAGAATGACTACACTCATTTGTGGAATATAAAATAATATGAGACTGACATCCAAGGACAGTAGAGACAGGGCCAGGAATATTGCTCCGTGGTTGGTAGCCTGCCTCATGAGATGGGGGAGAGGGCAGCTGGGATAGAGAAGGGATCACTAAGTCAATGATGCTTGGTGAAATAGTTCAGGATGGGAGATTAAGTGCTAAAAGTAGATAAAGGACCAAATGTGATAGCATCTCAGTATCTATATTGCAAACCATGATGCCTAAAAGTAGAGAGAGACTTTGGGGGGAAATTGCCTGCCAGGGAGGCAGGGGGAGAGTTGGGATGGGGGGTGAAATACTGGGGACATTGGTGATGGAAAATGTGCACTGATGGAGGGATGGGTGTTCAATCATTATATGACTGAAGCTCAAACTTGAAATTTTTGTAGCTGTATCTCATGGTGATTCAATTAAAAACTAAAAGTTAATATATAAATAAATATAACATCTTTGATCTTTCCAGCCTGCTTGTCTTGAAATAGACAAGCACATTGCTAGGAGGTCACGGTGAGGCCAACCCAAGCAATGCTTCACTCCTTGCACAGCTTCTGTGGCTGAGGAAGAAGGGAGCCACCCCAGTTCCTTCAGAAGGAAATGGAGAAGCCACGAAAAAAAAAGGAGGTTACTAAGGACTTCTGAGTTAAAAAGAATAATGTTATTACTAGAGGTTATCCTTTAATGTCAAAACTATCATGCTGGATTTTCTTTTCTTTTTTGTTCTTCTAACATAAGCTGTCAGACTGCATTAACCTACTCACACCATCAATTTACTGAGTAAAAACCAACACTTGGTAATTACAGTGACAACAAAACACCTTTCAGAATCCATATGTTCTGCTGTATAAAGCAAACAAATCTCTGTTCTAGATGAGTAAGCATTAGAAGCTAACAAAAAAGATCATAACAGGTTTTAACTTATCTCTTGCCCATAGAATATAATAGATCTAGGGTTAAAGAAACTTATTTGGTTAATTACCTGAGTAACTAATGCTCAGTTTGGAAATTAATTTTTGATTTTAGGTGTCCTAACAGGCTGGAGCGATAGCGCAGCAGGTAGGGCTTTTGCCTTGCATGCAGCCAACATGGCTGACCAGAGTTCGATTCCTCGACCCCTCTCGGAGAGCTCAGCAAGCTACTGAGAGTATCTCGCCCGCACAGCAAAGCCTGACAAGCTACCGTGAAGTATCGAATACCGTGAAGTATTTGATATGCCAAACACACTAGCAAGTCTCACAATGTTACTGGGCCTGCTCAAGCAAATCGATGAACAACGGGAGGACGGTGATACAGTGATAGTGTCCTAACAAGGTTCACACTAGACAGAGGGTTTTTGTTTGTTTATTTTTTTCACATGTGTTCACCTTTTTTTTTCTTTTTGGGTCACACCCAGCATGTTCAGGAGTTACTCCTGCACTCAGAATTACTCCTGGCGGTACTTGGGGGACCAGGACCATATGGGATGCTGGGAATCGAACCTGGGTCAGCTACGTGCAAGGCAAATGCCCTACCTGCTATGGTATTGTTCTAATCCATCATGTGCTCACCTTTGCCCTCCACATTAGCCATAACTTAAAAACATCGACGTGGCGTCCACACTGTAAGGCTTTGTCTCCAGTGTCATAGGACAGGTCATAATGTTTGTCTTGCTGAAAGAGGTAGGAGGCATGCATCTGGTTGCAGCTCTGCATCAGTCCCTAGACGAGAAAAGAAAAGTAAGAGACTTGACAGACTTTGTCAAGGGTTTTATTAGATTCATGTTGTAGTGGAAATTGCTCATAATAGAGACATTGAATATCCTAGAGAAATAAAAATAGTGCTAATCAATTTTTTAAAAATGAGACCAAAATCTGGAAAGGATGGACTGTATATTAACAGTTTAACTATGATACAAGACAGAGTCAAATTTTACCAGAGGTCAACCACAAGGGCATGTTAACACTTCTACTTCCTTTATTTAACTTTATTTTTAAAGTTTTTATTGATTGAGGTTCTGTAATTTATAATGCAATAATTATGGTTTCCCATCTACATAAAACCAACGCCACACCCCTCACCAATGTATCCATTTCCCTCCCCCAAGGACCCCAAAGCCCCTCTCTTCCAAGCCCCTCCCTACCAAATTCAGTTGTGTGGAAAGGTTTTCCCCTGTGTGAGACGGCATTTATTAAAAAAATAAATACAATTTGAGTATAATGTTCATCCTTTAGGAAGCTATCCTGATACTTTTGTTTTGTTATAATGAAATAGTTGGGAAAACGTGGGTTCTGGAAAATGTTTTTAGTATAATTTTCTTTCTGCTTCGCTCACCCTTAGTTCAAGCATTTTATCATTTAGCTGCTAAAAGACCACGCTCTTGGGCCAGATTGATAGTAAAGTGGGTAATGCCCTTGCCTTGATTACAGAGCAGCCAACCTAGGTTCAATTCCTGGCACCACATATGGTCCCCTGAGTGCTGCCAGAAATAAGTCCTGAATTCAGAGTCATGAGCACTGCTGGGTGCACCCCTACCCTCCAAAAATAATGAGATCTCTTTGGAACTCAAATTGTTAATAGTTCATTGTTATAATATCTGGGGAGGAGGACTGGGCCACATGGGGCAGTGCTCAGGACTTATTCCTGGCACTACTCTCAGGGATCACTCTGGCAGGGCTCAGGGGACCATATGGGGTGCAGGGATATAACCTGGGTCAGCTGCATGCAAGACAAGTTGCTTCCCCGCTGTCCTATCTCTTCAGCCCCCTTGCTATCATTTTTATATATTAGGGCTGGAGTGATAGCACAGCGGTACGGCGTTGGCCTTACAAGCAGCCAACATGGTCGACCCAAGTTCGATTCCTCCGCCCCTCTCGGAGAGCCCGGCAAGCTACCGAGAGTATTCGATATGCCAGACACAGTAACAACAAAGTCTCCAATGGAGACGTTACTGGGCCTGCTTGAGCAAATTGACGATCAACGGGAGGGCCTTTACCTTTACCTTTATCATCTAAAGATCTAAAGGCATTTTGAGATCTCTGACATGCGCAAACGTTCAAGTGTCCTGTTCCTCTCCCAGGAACAGTTAGAGTTTCAGGACAGCATTTTCAGACTCAGCGGCTTCTGGCAGTTCCCGGAAAACTGCACTGTTGGCGACCATTCTTTTGCTTCAGCTCCAGAAGCTGACAGTGGGAAATGGGTGGCAAAGTGCGTAAATGCTCCCAAAGAGCAGTGAATGAATCATGCTCTCTGACTAAAACAGTGTTGCCAGGCTCGCTAGAAACCCCACCATGTTTCAATTTGTCAAGAACAGCAGGAAACTTGGGACTCTTTTGTTATCTGGAGTCTAAACGTTCTTTGACGAAGAATTAGCTTTTTTGGGGGGGTTGTTTTTTTTCCTTATGACTCATGACAAGAGGAGAAAAGCCTATAACATGTGATCACTTAGCTGAAGTTAGAAGTGAGAACCTTCTTAAAAATTATTAGGAGGAGAACCAAAAGCAACGCATCCAAATCTCAACGAGGTTACAAAAGAGCAAGCACCCCAATGGTAGAGAAGAGAACAGGGTCAAACCTTGTAGTGCAGGCTTCATAGCCAGCGAAATTTATTAAATAATTTTTAAGAAAGTAAATACCGGGGTCAGGGAAATAGTACAGCGGGTGGGGCATTTGCCTTGCATGCGGCAAACACAGGTTCGATCCCCGACATTTCATGTGGTTCCCTGAGCACCGCCAGGAGTAATCCCTAAGTGCAGAGCCAGGAGTAACACCTGAGCATCGCTGGGTGTAACCCAAAAAGGCAGAAAAAAAAGGTAAATACCTTGAAATTATAATAAAACAATATAAAAACACTGAATGTGAAAGAGACATTTCACGTGAAGATCAGGAAGATTGGAAAGTGCCACTGATGCCTCTAGTTTGCTTTGTGGGCCCAGAAGTTGTCACTCTCTATCCCCAATCATGCAAGCGCTCAGATTATTGCCGCTGATCCTCGGAAAGATAACTGCATTAAGTATGAAATGGTGGACATGTTGGGTTATCTTTTCTGGGAAAGGAAAAAGAAACTCCAAAACCTTGACTTCTAAATGGTTGCATAATACAGTCTCCTTGCCCAGAAGAATAAATAGAAGTGATACTGTTTTTCCATCTGGAAGGCCTGGTGAGATAATATACTGGTCCTGAGTCATTAAAAAGTCCAAATACTGGGCTCTGGAGCGATAGCACAGCGGGTAGGTAGGACATGTGCCTTGCACATGGCCGACCCGGGTTTGATTCCCAACATCCCATATGATCCCTCAAGCACCACCAGGAGTAATTCTTGAGTGCATGAGCCAAAAGTAACCCCTTTGCAATGCCAGGTGTGACCCAGAAAGAAAAAAAAAAGGTCCCAATACCTAGGTCCCAAACTAATGTATACATATTAATAATTATTGTGAGTAAAAAGTTGCTGAAAAAATATTCAGTCAAATAAACTTAGCAAACTCATATATTCCCTGTATTTAGATATTATCTTATCTCATACATTTTCTGTATTTAGATATTTGCATCACATTAAAGGCATTAACTTTCTTGACTCATATAGCCACAAAGCAAGTAATGAATATATTTTAACCCTTTTAGTATGATATACCCCAAGCCATTTTAAGAATAAAACTCTCAGATCAGAGAATACTTATATAATCTTATATAATGGCATTATTCCTTGGACCCCAACAAGGAAAATGCTAACAGAGTATTATAAGGTTTTGAATTTGGAAGGGATTCCATAGCTATTAATCTATTTCTTCGCAATAGAAGAATCATTTATCTTCTCTTACTAAAGAATGAATTTCTTTTTCCACAATGCATTCATTGCCTGTTGGGCAACTTAATTTTTTATAAAAGCCATTTCCTTTATTGACTCCAAGTCATGCCTAAAGTCTAGTGTATTTTTCATTTGCTAAAAAATATGTACTACCCAGAGTTACTAACCTAGATTCTCGAAGCCTTAAAAGCAAGCAAAAGTACACAATAATCTTTTCTACTTGCATCATTTAAACTATGAATGAGAACAATTCTCTCACCCTTTAAGTTTAAACTAAAGAATAAGCCTCCTTCGTTCTGTCAACCATGAACACTCTCACGTGCTGACTATTTACTAAACTGTTCCAAAAGCTCTATCTTTGATGAAGCTCCATGGGGGATTTAGCACTGACCCAAACAAACCATTTAAAGAGTTATCCCACAGAGGAGAGTGGGAGGGTTACCATCTCCCTCATCCTGAAACTATGTCTTTTACTCCATTACTATTTCTTGAATGGTAAATTCCTTGACTTATTGTTGACCATCCAGAGTCTACAACCTAATATCGTAAGCCTTTTCCACACACACACACACACACACACACACACACACACACACCCCTAAGCCATGTGTGAAACCAGCTTGTCTTGTACAGCTGATATGTATCCTGCTTGGACCTAAGAACTGGACCTTACAATGATTCTCATGAACTGTTTCTGCCTTTGAAATCACTATTATGGCTTTGTTCCTACACCCTTTTCCTAAACCCCCTAATGGATTGGACCCACAGCCAGGAAACACATACCTCTTCTCTGACCAGGAGAGCAGAGCACTGCAACGGGACCCCCATCATCTTGTGCGGATTCCATGTCACAGAATTGGCCCTATTAGAAACAAATCATGTTAACAAAGTGGCCCCAGGACAGATTCAGACACCGGGGCATTGTGTCTGGGCAGCAGAGCCAAGGGCTTCTTGTACTTTTCTCAGCACAACACAACACAACACTGAATGTTCCAAACAGGGAACCATTCTTGCATTCAGCATTTCCTTGGCTTTGCATGGTCTATGAAGACTATGAAGACTCTCTCCATGTCCAGCCCAGATCACCCATGAAAGAATTCACTTAGCTTCTTGGGGACGGTGGCGGTGAGGTCAGATCATTCATTCACTCGAGGACAAACATAAACCTCCCCCCTTCCTGCTTCAGGCATTCCTGGAATGTCCGGATTTCAGAGGGACGTATCCTTCTACTGGTTAACTTGTTCTTGGCCCTATCCAGTTTCTCCTTTCTACACAATGACTCATTTCTCACATGTATCCTTTACTGATAGTTTCTCACTCCTCCCCATTTCCATTTTTTTCTCAGATCCATTCCTTGAGATTGGACCACGGGGGAAATATACTCAGATGCCTGTTTGCAGATTTCATTCTACCTGATCTCAACATACTTGAGAAATGCAATGATCTCCCAAGAGTTAAACTGTTTTTCTTTTCTTTTCTTTTCTTTTCTTTTCTTTTCTTTTCTTTTTTCTTTCTTTTTTTTTTTTTTTTTTAGCCTTTTTTGGTCACACGCAGCATTGCTCAGGAATTACTTCTGGCTCTGCATTCAGAAATTACTCCTGGTGCTGCTTGGGGAACTATATGGGATAGAAGGGATGGAACCCGGGTCGGCCACTTGCAAGGCAAATGCCCTCCCCACTGTTCTATTGCTCCAGCCCCTGAAACTTTTTCTGACCTCATCCTTAGTGCTCAGACTTCTCCTCCTCTTAGGGAAGCAGCCACTCCTGCCCTGTGCTGCCTCTCTCCTTGCTTCCTTCACTTGCTGAGTTTCTGTACCATCTTCAGAGAGACTGGGGGATATTCATGAATGAGAACCCTGAATGTGACCTGGGTCCAGAGTCATATGAGGAAGAAAAATAGTAGTGTGGGGGCTGGAGCGATAGCACAGCGAGAAGGGTGTTCGCCTTGCACGCAGCTGAACCAGGTTCGATTCCAAGCATCCCATATGGTCCCCTGGGCACCACAAGGAGTAATTCCTGAGTGCAGAACCAGGAGTAACCCTCTGAGCATTGCCGGTTGTGACAGTAGTATGATCTGCAGCAGCTGCTGTGGGAGGTGGCTCCTCCTTAGGTGGAAAACAGACTTGGCCTCATCCTGCTCCCAGAACCCTGTGTGGGCACTGCAGGAAGACACAGAGGGAAAGCTCCCATTCATCTTGGTGATGAATGTCAGGCGTTAGTCAGCTATCCAGGAAACACTTACGGCCAGGGATCTTATCGGGATCAGTGATGGATCCAGCTCAGTTTTGGGTCTCAGCTTTAGATTCTGACATGAACTGTCGGATTCATTGAAAACTAAAAAATCAAAGGCAGCTAGTGGCCAGAGGGCTACTTTCCCTGCAAAGAGGACTAAGTGACTTGAGGCCTATTAAAGGCCGTGTTTAATCAGAGAGCTTCTTCTTAGAAAACAGCTCCTTGCTCCATAGAATAACAGAAAGACAGAATTATCAGAGCTAGCAAAAGAAAACCAAGAGCAAGACAGCTTATATTGTTTGCATCCAGATTCTATTACTTCTTAGATGAGTGATCTTGGACAAGTTAATGAAGCTTTCTGTGCCTACATTTATTTGTCTGTGCAAAAGAGAATAATAATATGAGCCTCGGGATAAAGTGACTACTGATAGACAGTAAATGTGAAATCAGACTGACTTTTGCTATTGATGTCCACTCTACCACTTGCAAGTCTTGTGACACAGGACGTGTCCCCACCACCATTCCCTGCTCATACTGTAACACTGTACAACCATACCCCTAAGCTCCATGGTGAAAACATCAGCTGTTCCCCAAGTTCATCCTACTCAGTGGTCAGTTGCTGATGCTACTTGTTGCAGGAGCCTTAGGGTGCTGGTCATCTGCTCTGCCACTTTGAGCTACATCCCTGCCTCCGTAGGTCTTTTGGGGAAAGAAGTTTCCCACTTTTTTCCCACAGGCAGCTCTGGCTCAATCTTGCCTTGGAGCTGAGGGGCTGACGCAGGAAGAGGACAGGAACTGCAGGCAGCAATCGAACTCTAGGTTAATCTGAGCCTAGTTGATCGGTTAGAAAAACAGCCTCAGCTGTACTTCTTCAGGGGGAGAACCTCAGAGGAGGAAATGAGAGCCCCAGGGCTGTTTTCCATCCTGTCCTTGTTGACCCCACATGGACTGCTCATTTGCCCACTTCCTGTCCTTCCAGATTTGTTCTAAAGACAAACCCTGGATACTGCAACTTTTGTGCCTCTGTTCCTCTGTTTTCCTCCCAACTAGCCAGGCCTCAAACCCCAGTTTTGGGGTTCACTGTAGCATGAACCCCTTTTGAATCTTATTCCTCACCTGTGGGGTTCAGTAACTCCTTCCCTCCCCCACCTCAGCTTCTCCTCCGTCTTCCACTGCATCCTTTGCACAGCAGCTCCAAGTCGTTTCCAGTCCCCTCGTAGCTTATCAAATCTGTTTTCTTTCCAAAATGCAGAAAGCATCACCAGAGCCCCACTCCTATTTTGTCACTACAGGAGAAAACCCTGCTCTCCACCTGTAACCCAGGCTCGCATGGCTCCCATTCTCAGAGTCTTGGGGGACACTGAGACTTAATCAGCAGCAATCCCAGACGTGCCTGTCCTCCTGGGCACTACCCTGACTCCCTCTCTAAACCAACACAAGCCTGCCTTCACCCTCTTTAAGGATCCTTTCAATGCCCACGGATCTCTTCACTTTGAATGCTGTTCTTCCTCATCTGCTACGAAGTGCCCTTTTCTTCAATGCCCACTCCCTGGGCAACAGATTCTTCCAAGAATCCTGTTTTAGATGGAAATTTTACTTCCTTGTGCCCTCCTATTAGCTCACTTATCTATCTCTTAAGCCTTTATTTCCTCTACTTCAAATTTTGGTCTGTAGTTGATTGCCAATCTCTCTACTAGATTCTAAAGCAGAGGTGCCCAACTTATTTGGCCTACTCTTTCAGAAAAAAATATTACTTAGCGCTCCCAAATATACCTTCTTTTTTGCTGGGGGCAGGGGAGTAAGGCATGCGTGAGCCAGACCTGATGGTGCTCAGGACTTCCTCCTGCCTCTCAGGGATCATTCTTTTTTTTTTTTTTTTTTTTTTTTTGCTTTTTGGGTCACATTTGGTGATGCACAGGGGTTACTCCTGACTCATGATGCACTCCCTGGTGGAGCTCAGGGCACCATATGGGATGCTGGGAATCGAACCTGTGTCAGCCGTGTGCAAGGCAAATATCCTAACCTCTGTGCTATCACTCCAGCTCCCACAGAGATCATTCAGTGTCAGATATTAACCCAGGGTCTGCCACAGGCAAGGCAAGCACCCACCTCCCTGTACTATCTCTCTGGTCAAAAATCTACCATTTTAAAGAGAGTAAACAGATAGTGACATCCAGTTTTTCCTGAGGCTACTATCATCCTGGTGTGGGGGAAAGGGGTGGGGGCAGTATCACCCATCAAAAGTAAAAAGTGAGGCTTTTTATCATTTGCATCTTTATGGCTCCCGGGGCTGGGTTGGGAAACTGGCCTGTGCCAGGAACAACTATTTCAGCTACTGAGTTGAGTTTCTGCACCCTGACTGTCAGAACAGAAGTGGGGATAGTGATTTCCATGCCACCACAGTGGCAGCAGAACCTTAAGCTGCATCAGCAAGTCTGGAGCTTGAACCAGAGAGATGGTTCCTGCACTTCTGCAGCAGCCTGCTTTCACTCTGAAACGCACAGAAACAGTCAGGCTCACAGAGGTAGAGATGGGGAGGGCCATCTACACATGGGGCGATACTTCCTGGGGACCCCCTTCCTGGCCACTTCCCTCCACTTTCTCTTTGTTTTTTGGGTCATGCTCTGCAGTAGTGTTCAGAACTTATTCCTGGCTCTGCGCTCAGAGATCATTCCTGGTGGGACTCTGGGGGATTGTATGAGATGCTGTAGATACAGCTCAAGTCAGCTGCATGCAAGGCAAGCTCCCTGTCCACTCTACCATCATCCCAGTCCTGGTTTCTTCCACTGTAGATTGCATCCTACTGCATAGTAAAATGTAAAACTGACACATGAGGCCAATTCTTTTTCTCAACCTGTGCCCCTTATGCATTATGTCTAGAGGTTCTGCTGATATGAGACTTGATTTACCAAAGAAATAAGCTTTTTGTAATAAGGCATCAGGATGCTGATTCCAGGAAATGGACCGCTAAGAGGGTTCTGTTCCCCCTGGCAGCCAACCTCACATTAGGGACTCTGTCTGCATTTGGGGAATCCGTGGTTGTAGCATTCATTAGAAGCAGTTTTAAGAATCGTGGCCATCAAAAGGACTCCATGTTCCGTGATGAATATTCTAAGTTTTGCTCTCAAATAACAGTCTTCAGTGCAAAGCGAGTGGGTGTTTATTTTTCTAGGGCTCAGGGGAGGTAACTTAATGAGCTTTGAAGTGCTCATCAGCGGAGATCTCTGTGACTGTCAGCATTCAGTGTCACGGGTGGCATGAAAATCAAAATGACAAATGCCCTTCCTTTATGTCTGTCAGAAGGTAGGAAGAGACTGCTCTTGTGGAGAGGCCGTCTCTCTTGAAAGCACAAGAATTTCATTCCTCTCTGATCATCTGAGCAGGTACCTCCCACATTCTTATTATCCCCACTCCCCTCTCTTAAGATCTCTCTCTGCTTAGTTCACTGCCTTCTCCCAAAGCGTCTGACCCAGGTTGACAGCTGTTCCCAAGCGCCACAGGCCCCTCGCCACATCCAAACAGAAACAGTGCCAAGATGTCTAGGGGCAGAGCCAGCGGGAAACTTTTCCTGGGTAGCATCTGGCCTCTTGGCAGGGCACTGTGGGCATCTGGCAGCCTCTGATGAATTTGGGATTTCTCCATGGCCTTCAGTGGCAGAGCTAACGGCAGGGGTTTACCCACCATGTGCCGGGAGGCTTGGGGACTGTGTTCCCTTATACGAGGTTCAGGACCAAAGCCCAGGGCTCGCTGTGCATTCTGTATTTCCCTTTCCCTCTGACTCTGCTGGATGCCAATCAAACAGCCCCCCATCTATATTTTGTAGCTGTTCTCAGTGGTCGACTAATTCCCTTGAAATAACAGGTGCTTTGCAGTATCACTCAAAGCTCCACCAGGAAAAACTTTTTATGGGTACAAAGCCAGGAGCTATATCATCACAAGTAAGTCTCGCTTCAAGTCAACTGATGATTTTATTTTACATTTATATATTCATTTGCTTTCGGTTTTGAGAGCACACCTAGAAGTGCCCAGGGGTTATTCCCAACTCAACGCTCAGGGGTGACTCCCAGTAGTACTTGGGGGACCATGTGGTGCCAGGGATTGAATCAGGGTCTCTCCTGAAAAAAAACGTGCTCAGTCCTTCAAGCCATCTCTCTGGCCCTCAACCGACCACTTTGAGAATTTTATTCAAGTTAACTGGTCCACACTCCAACTTTTAACATTAAACTGCAGAGCGCTTAAATTTGCTTTACCAAATTATTTATTGCTTTCTTTAAAGCAGTAGCTCTTACTCCTTAAAAATCATGAAACCTATGGGTCTTCTCCTTAGAAAACTGAACAGTAAGAAGAAATTTTTAGTTTTTGTTTTTGGGTCACATCCGCTGATGCTGAGAAATCACTCCAGGGGGGCTAGGGAGATCATATGGGGTACCAGGGATTGAACTAGGGTTGGCCACATGCAAGGCAATCTCCCTACTAATTATCTAAATATTGCCCTAGTAATTATCTAAATATCTCCCTACTGTTATCACTCTGACCCCAGTCCAAAGGTTTTAAAGCATGTTGGTAGTTGGTTGAGAGATCCCAAGAAAGGCGTTCCCAAGCCCCTGGCTAGAGATCTCTGTATATGACACAATCCACTTGGGTCACTGGATCTGAGATTTAATCATTTGTGTTCTTGTTTGCACCTCATATGGACAAGATGTGACCCACACAAGGCAGGCAGGCACTGCACAGAGAGAGCTCATCTCATCTGAGTTCTAAGAGTCCTTGGAGACGAGCTAAAATCCACTGTCACATTTGGCATTGACAATTGACATTGTTGACAAGAGAAAAAATGCAGGTACCTCTCCACGCCGCTCAGTTTCCACTTGTGTTTCCGGGACATTAGCAGACCCCCGCCCCATGCTGCCTGAAAAAGGAAGATCAAATGAGGGAGAGAGTAGTGTTGCCCATCGCCTTCACTCCTATGGTGTTGTACATACAGTGAGAACCTCCTCCAGCCCCGTCATCTGCCTTCTTCTGGACCTAGACTTTCAGGATTGAAATTAGGGCTGAGTCTAAGGGCTCAGGCTCCACCCCTTACTTATGCAGATATAAGGATTAGAACTACATTTTCTCAGTTTGCAAGAAAAAGATCCTCCCTGCACCCACCACCATGTAGTATCTCCTTTTAAAACAAGATGGCTCTTGGAACACCACCCTGAGTGACTCCTGAGCACAAAGCCAGGAAGATCTCCATAGCACCTCTTGGTGTGGCCCAGCCCCTTCCCCCCAAAATAAATAAACCAAAAAGGGGCAACAAAAAAAAAACAGATTGAGACTTGTTTGAAAATGCTGACATTCTTTGCATATGAAAATAAGCCTTGGGGACCAGAGTGATAGTACAGTGGGTAGGGTGTTTACCTTGCACGCAGCCAACCTGGGTTCAATCCCTGGCATCCCATATGGTCCCCGAGCACCTTCAGGAATAACTCCTGAGTGTAGAGCCAGGAGTAACCCCTGAGCATCATTGGGTGTGACCCCTCCCCCAAAAGAAAAGAAGCTTGGGATAATTTTAAAGAAAAAATCATAAGTTAGAATACATTTTTTTCTGGTAATATTATTTCTCTTCTACTTTGAATAATTACCCAATTTTCTATAAGTGTTATATTTAATTTTTTTCTAGTTTAGCTCTAGAACATATACATGAAAGCTAGTAAGAATAAGTGGTAAATGTGTATATGTATGTTTATAGTATGTGTATCGAAGAAACTAACATTGATGTTATAAGAGTCCCTTGGTTCTAATTTAAGAAGACTGAATGAAGCAGAGAGAAGAGCAACGGTGAACTCTGAACACAAAGATGTTTACTTCTGAGGGCAGGTGAAGGAGGGGAAAGGTTCTTATGCAGTATTCATAGGGTTAGGGAACTCTGAGTTCACCCCCAGTAATTCTCAGTGCTCAGGCCTAAGATTCAGTGTTGCTGGAGTCCAGTAGAGTTCAGAGGTGTCAGCCCCTGTGCTGCAGCCCTTTAGCTTGAGCCCTGAGGTCCACATCCTTATGTCCACAGTTGCCATACTAGCCACTTCCCGAATCAGCTTCCAGCTTTTAACAAGTTCCCTAGTTCTGAGATTTAAGTCACCAACAGCACTTGAGTTTTCCCATCTTTCTCAGTCTCCTCACACGTAAAATAAATGAGATTTGGGTAGTTAATGAACAACTCACCGTGGGATTCCCAGAAGGAAAAGAAAATTGCAATTGCTCTGCATGAGAACTCTGGAATAATCAAAATTTACCTGGCTGAGCCTGGGCTAGAGCGATAGCACAGCGGCAGGTTGTTTGCCTTGCAAGCTGCTGGCCTGGTTGAGCTGGGTTCAATTCCTCTGCCCCTCTCGGAGAGACCAGCAAGCTACCGAGAGTATTTCGCCTGCACGACAAAGCCTGACAAGCTACTTGTGATGTATTTGATATGCCAAACACAGTAACAAGTCTCACAATGGAGACGTTACTGGGCCCGTTCGAGCAAATTGATGAAAAATGGGAGGACAGTGCTACAGTGCTACCTGGCTGAGCCTATGGGAGTACTGGGATCCTGAAGGGTGGGTTTAATTTTGTCTGAATATTTATTTAAAAATTCAAATGACCTAAGTTAGTGCCACTGAACAACATAAACTTGCACTAGAATGGAGGTCAGCTATGGCTCCTTTTATTGAGAAAGAAGATCTTGCAATAAGGTAAGTAAATAAATTAGCTGAATCAAACAGTGCTCAGTGATGTTGGCACTAACTTCTTTTCCCATCATGGATCATTAACCAACAATTTGCAAATAGGATCTGACCTATGACTTGTACTTTGAACAAAACTGATGTAAACATAAATCCCTTCTGTTGAAACTTCTAAAAAGGAACATTTTGGGCATCATTTCTTATTTTTTAAGCCTGACTTGAGTTTTGTTCTCTTTCTTTTTTATAATACTTGGGGTTTCCAATATCAATGCAACTCCTTTTCACTCTCTTGGTCATTTTTATAGAGAAGTAAGATCTTCATGGGTATGACTGTACATGTACATAAGTTTCTGTATTCAACCAAGAGATTATGAATTGAGATCTAAGTACTCGGGTATTTAGATACTTGATGCTGATTTTTGAAGTGAGAATATTACCTTATTTGGGAACAGAGAGGATTAATAAGTCTTGGAATTGTTGTGTACTGTGTGAATTGGGGGCTAATTTGTCTTTGGCATCTCTATTTTTTTCACATTTTTGGTTTTTGGGCCACACCTAGTGGCAATGTTCAGGGCTTACTCTGCATGCTGTGCTCAGGGGTCCCTTTTGGTGCTGCTCAGGGGACCAACCCATTACTGGGGATCAAAATGGATTGACTGTGTGTAAGGCAAATGCCTTAACCATTGTGCTGTCCCATCCAACCCATGGCTGTGTCATCTTTATGAGCTCAAATTTCACAATTTAAAAATTAAAAATCATCTTGAGGAGAGAGAGGGAGAGAGAGAGAAAGAGAGAGAGGGAGGGAGAGAGAGGGGAGAGAAAAAGAGAGGAGAGAGAGAGAGCAAGAGAGCAAGAGAGAGAGAACTGGCACAGAGAGAGGGAGAGAGAAAGAAGGGAGAGAGGGAGAGAGAGAGAGAGAGGAAAGGAGAGAGAGGAGACAGGAGAGAGGAGAGAGAGCATCCTCTATGTGAGAAATGTTCCAGGACACCTTAGTGGCAGTTCCTGTGGGATACTCACATCTACATGCATCCAGATCTTATACTTTTTGCAAATGTCAGCAACAGCCAAGAGGGGATCAAACGCTCCATACACGGTGGTACCAGCTGTTGCACTCACAAGGAAAGGAACAAATCCCTATGTAAAAGAGAGAAAGCCAAATATTTTAAAGGAGAGGCGTCAAAGTTCCTTTAAAAATGCTGACAAAAGCTGTGAAAATTCTCTCCCCTTGTACCCATTGCAAGATCAGAAAAGTGATAGACTTCCTGAAGCCTGGCAGAAACGAGGCTTATTCCCTCTTACCTGAGTTGAGTTGAGGGGGCCCTGCTGTTGGACCACAGTCACCTTATTAGAACAGATATTCTATTCTCAGAAGAGCTCATGTTTGACCCAGAGCGTTCTCTCTCTCTCTCTCTCTTTCTCTCTCTCTCTCTCTCTCTCTCTCTCTCTCTCTCTCTCTCTCTCTCTCTCTCTCTCTCCCTCTCCCTCTCCCTCTCCCTCTCCCTCTCCCTCTCCCTCTTCCTCTCTCTCCAGGGATCAAACCCAAGGCTCAGGGCCTCCCATACCCAAGGTATGTTGTGCTCTACTGTCTAGCTATGTCCATGGCCCACATTTTGCCTTTTTTGTTTTTGAACAAGGCCTTTAATGCATCCTTTAGGAAGCGCAGGCAAGAGGATGAAGAATCCATTATCCCTATTTAGAAAATGTCAGGTAAGTTATTTGGAGTTTTAAAAAGCAGCATTCACATGGAGCCAAACAATTAACCTGTCTTTTATCTGTGTTTCTTAGCCTTGGCTGAATGAAATAGATTGAAATGACAGGCAGCCTCTGAAAGATGGCAAAAAGCCTTTGGACAGTCATTTTTAGGAAATAATTTATAGAGTCAGCCCTTAGATGGCAGCAAAGATCCAGTTTTGTGTTCATAGTAGCTCAAGTACAAGAATCAGAGAAACCTAGGTGCCATTGTGAGGGTGGGGAGTGGGAGTGGGGATGGGGGGTCATAAAAATAAAAAATTATCCTTGGGATGATAATAATAAGATAAGTGTTACATGATTGAACTAGGAATTATAGATACTATTTCCTAAAAATTGAATTAAGAGAGCTCTAAAATCAAAACTTCTAGTTTGCAAGCTGTTCAGGGAGAATAATGACTTTGTAGAGCTTTGTGGGACTCTAGCAGTTCTTTAGAATTATTACTCTTGGAACCTGGTCTAAATGGTTTCCTAAAAAGTAGCATGCTTGGAGAAGGAATTTTAATAGTATGTGTCCAAGTGGAAAAAGTAAGTCCATAACAGTACAAACAAATCACATGCTACCTTAGCATTCTATATCAACTCGTAAAAATGACCTTTCAGAACAAAAGCAACCGATGCTGGCATAGATGTGGCGAGAAAGGGACACTCCTTCACTGCTGGTGGGAATGCTGACTAGTTCAGCCCTTTTGGAAAACAGTATGGACGTTTCTCAAAAAATTAGAAATTGATAATTTAATCATTTTAATGTGTCATTCTTCTATTTAGTTCCCTTAGGTGGCATCTTTTCCTTCCATATAAAAAATAAATAAAACACCATATTTTGATATTCCATATAAAAAAAATTAGAAATTGATCTCTCATTTGACCCAGCAATACCACTCCTGGGAATATATCCCAGAGAGGCAAAATTGTATAGTCGAAGTGACATCTGCACTTGTTTGTTCATTGCAGCACTCTTTACAATAGCCAGAAACTGGAAGAAACCTGAGTGCCCAAGAACAGATGACTGGTTAAAGAAACTTTGGTACATCTACACAATGGTGTACTATGTAGCTCTTAGAAAAGATGAAGTCATGAAATTTACATACAAGTGGTACAATATGGAAAGTATCATGCTAAGCGAAATGAGTCAGAAAGAGAGGGATAGACATAGAAAGATTACATTCATCTGGGGGATATAAAATAAAAAAATATGAGATTAATACCCAAGAATAGCTGAGATCAACACCAGGAGGATTACTCCATAGCTTAGAGGCCAGCCGGGTATTCTAGGGGAAAGCGCAGTTCAGATAGAGAAGGGAGCACCAAATAAAGGGTGTTTGGAGGATCCTCCCAGGAGGGGAGATAGATGTTGAAAGCAGACTATGGACTGAACATGTTTGCCACTCAATGCCTCTTTTGCTGACCACAATACCCAAAAGGAGAGAGAGAACAGGGGGGAATGCCCTGCCACAGTGGCAGGGTGGGATGGGGGGGTTGGGGAGGGAGGGATATTATCCATGGTGGTGGAAAATGGGCACTGGTAGAGGGATGGGTATTTGATCATTGTATAAACGAAACCCAAGCACAAAAATGTGTAAATCTACAACTGTACCTCATGGTGTTTCACTAATAAAAAAAATTTTTAAAAAAGACCTTTCAAATATGTATCTGTTTCATGTCAATATTCATGACTTAGGATGACAAATGATTTTGAAACTCTTACAATATTATCATGCACATTATTCATTCAGCAACTTGGACTTTTCCAAAAGCAGAGCCTTAAGTAAGTAATAGCCAGATACAAAAATCTATATTATCATTGCAGTAGGAGATTTGAGTCCTCTTTGAAAAATAAAATAAAAGTGTGTTCTTTACTAGATGGAAATAGAAATGTTTGTTTTCAGCTTGGGATGGGCTGAATGAAGCCTCTTACAAAAACTTACTTTTTGTTTGACTTCAACGATCCGTCTTTCAAGATCAGATGGAATCATTTTTCCCCTGAAAGGAGAAGTAAATATATTATGGGTTTGCTTTGAATAATTTATTTGTCTTTACAAGTGGATACATGATATTGTGACACGATATTGTGATGATAAACTACTAATATTAGTCATCAATTAAAACAACTCCTGGACTACTTGCAGAAAGAAGTGCATTCATTCCCTGCATAATGTATGGCTGTAGCTTCTGGCACATGTAGAAGATTCTAGATCAAAAAAAGAAAAAGAAAAAAAGAAGATTCCAGGTAACCTATGGAGATGAGCCACATTTGTGACACTCACATACAGTTTACTTTGTGATTCTAATGACTTAATTCGGTTAGAAAGGAGTCTGTTTTGGAGCAAAAGCTCAGCAATGCTAGGATAATTGCACAAAAACAAGTGTTTCCAAATCTACTATTTAACTGTTCCACAATTTCCCATATAGACAAATGCTTTAAAGAAAGGAAATCTAGTCAGAAACATTTGAATGAAACTATTAAGCCAAAACTATTAAGCTGAGTACTAAAACCCTAAAGAAGGTCTAGAATAAAAGGACTCAGATATTAAACCATTAGGTAGACAGGCATTGGAGAAAAAGACTTTTTTCCCTGAAAATCTTCTTTTCTAAAACAAGAACAGACAGGACTTCGCTTATATATATATAAAAAAAACAAAAAACAAAAAAACACCCAAATGGAATAGAGAGATACTTCAATGGGCTGGAGTGAATACTTTGTAAGCAGGAGGCCCAGATTCTATTCCTTGATGGTGTGATCTCCTGAGCATTGCCAGGAGTCACCACAGAGCACCATTGGGTGTGACCTCTCAAATGGGGAAAAAAAATCCACAAAAATAGAACAATCTAAAAGAAGCAAACAAAAGACTTTGCCCTCATAATATTCAACGGAGAGTTGATTTCTACAAGAAGCTAGACTAGGCAAGTGACCTCTGTTGACTGACTTAATTTCTCCGTTCCAATTATGCCCAGAACACAGTGCTAATATTGCTTATGGAATTACAGAATTAAATCAGTTGCTACATGCTCACAGGATTTGGCACATGGGAAGTGTTCCATGGGAAGTGGGTATTAGTCTTTACAATTGAGAGAATTATACATGTTCTGTTCTGATTATTTAAAGGAGGGGACAGACAAAAAACAGAGGATTGTTCTATTGGCAATTTGGACAATGATGGACCACACCTACACAAAGATGGTCTTCTTCGTCTCTACCGTGTACATAGGTGTACTAGGTTACTCCATCTACAAGTGTGTGATTCCACTATAAGACACTCCCATGGTAATAAAATGACCTGAAGATGCATCTCTCAGAATGTCATTCATTGATGCAAGACTGCAGTTATGTGGTTCTGGATGGAGTGAAATATTTTTTAAATAAAAATAGTTCTCTTGAGTCTGCTAAATTTGCCCAGCTTTTTATCCAAGGGTCATTGATAAAGGGATTTAAAATGTAATTCAGGAGAAGACATAGAGGGAGTTAAATTCAGGTTGTCACAATGAATGGGTGGGGGTTACTACTAGCCTTTAGTGAGTAATAAGTGGAGATCTGATATTTATCACTAGTTCCACAGTCTATGTGTAGCTCTCTCCGTGATCCTAGATAGTAAAATGAACTGGATTAGCTCATTTTATTGTCTAGTGCTATCTCTTCAGCATTAAAATGTTATGATAAATTACTTTTCTAATGTCTTTTTACTATTCTGTCAACATAATTGGGGCATTATAGAGTGAGTAATTTTGTTTCTGCAGTCTTGATTGCAGGCTAATAAAAAAGGAGTTACAAGATAGTTGGACTATGAAGTAGACATTAGACCTGAAAGTCTTCACTGATTGAGCTTTTCCAAAGAAAGGCTGTTAAAATGCAATCACTTGGGCAATGGTAATGGACACATCAGCAGTGATTAGACAGTGGTGGAATGGAGCAAAGGCATTAAATGACTCAGAGGAGTTCAACTTTGTGAGATGGGATTCTCCAGGAGAGGCTAATAGAGCAGAAAGGTGCAGTGGTTCAGAGAAAGGTGCTTTGAAGAGCATCCCTCTCCCACCACTTCACTGCCTGGTTTGGAGGCATCCTTCAAACTTGGACTTGACTGTACTTGCAGTCACTTATTTTGTCATTCACTTATGTCAAAAGCGTATGGGATTGGCACCTTTGACCCCCATCTAGCAGTGGACAGTGTCATATTCTAAATAAGATGCTCAACTTTCAGGGGGAAATTGGGAATTATATTTATTTTGTACATTAACTTTACTTTCATTAAAATGGTCACAGTAGTTTTGTAGGTGAACACAGAGACTGAAAAAATTCTTAGGGATTAGCTGAAAATTTCTATTTTGCTTCATCTACTACAAGTCAAACTCTTCTGCCTTGAAGAGTTTCAGGTGGAGAGCAGGACTATTATTTGCTCTTGAAACCACATCCTAATGTTCCACTAAGCAGAGAAAATGAGGTGTCACCAGAAGTCTCAGATGAAGGGTCATTGGGCTTGGCAGCAGCTTCTATTTCATTTTGAATTTAATTACTTCTGTTTTCAAGAAAGGAAACAATCTAACAGTGGGAAGTGACTGCTCAAGGCCAGTTGCTGGTGAAAGGCTGGGGATAACTCAGGAAAAAAGTGAGGAAAGTTGAGGTTGGGTCAGGTTTTGCTCTGAGGCCACATCTGGCAGTACTCAGGACTTACTCCTGGCTCTGCACTTAAGGATCACTCCTGAAAGTCTAAGGTAGCCACATGTGATGCCTAAAATAGACTCAGGAGAGAGGCAGATGTAAGGCAAGGGCCTAAACAGATGTATCTTTCCAGTCCCTTGCTTAGAGTTTCTGATATAGTCAAGAAAGCAGTACTGAACGAAATAATTGTATTTCCCTGTCAGTGAGTATTGGGTAGAAAGAAGGGGAAAGTTCACCCAATTATCTAGCCCAACTGTTGATTTCTCACACAGCGACAGTGTAGATTTTCTCTGCTAAGGACTTTACTTTCCATGCCCAGATCATTTTGCCCTCTTAGGATCCCAGAGCTTTGTACACTGCAGGTGGCAAATACATATTTTCTGGAGACCTGTGACAAGAAGGTGAACATGTAATCTAAGGCTTGTTCATGTATTAGCATGGTCCCTTCCTTCAACATCTAACATGCAGCTGGATGAGGATCCCCAAATGTGTCATCTTTCCATTTTTCTCAGAATTGGCTACATTACTTGAGAACAATGGTTCTTAACATTTGGGGTGCATAGGACTGGAGAGATAGTACCATGGGCAAGGCCCTTACCTTGCCCTGTGGGCAATCTGGATATAATCCCCGGCATCCTATATGGTCCCTCAAGCACTGCCAGGAGTATTTCCTGAGGGTATATCCAGGACTAACCCCTGAGCAATGCCCAAAAACAAACAAAAGGAAGTCAGGGTGCATAAAAACCACCTCTAAGGGGTTTTACATGCATATTCCTGGAGGCTACCCTAGGCCTACCCTAAAGGTTCTGATTCAACAGATGAGTTAAAGGGCCCAGGGATTAATTTATCCTACAAATCATTTCTATGCACGAATTCTGTGCCAAACACTTTATTTGCAATCAGAATAGTATTTATTTTTCTGGGGTTTACATGCTAACAAAGTTAGCATGTAAGCCCCAGAAAAGGCCTAACCAGAAGTATTTACTAAACAGAGTAAATAGATAAGCACATCTAGGGATCAACCTTCCTAATAAGCAATCCAGAAACAGCCCTCGGCCCACACACTGAGAAATATTTTTTGACAAACACACATTTCAGCCAGTAGGTGTTTAAAGAGCAGAGTTACGTATTGCCCACAGTGTTCCCATGATCCTGGGATTTGAGCGCTCCGGGTGGCAGGGCAGAAGTGAGCAGAAGGGACATCAGATGTGGTCCTGATCATCTCCTGACTGTCTGTGTGCCAGCGGGTGACAGTAGGCTCCTGAGGATTAGGAGCTGTCTGGTCAGCACTGGCTTTTCCAGACAAGCCGCTTGTGCAGGAGCCTTTGCAGGGCAGCTGTTGCATCCTCTATTGGACATACTGTGATAGCAAAAAAACCCCATGCACCTTTAATGTTTACAATCCTGCCTTAGGCTCACAAGTAAGCTTTAAAGTGGTTCCTTGTGAGCTGTTAGGGTTAAGCTAGAACTGTCATCCCAGTGAGAATTGTGGAACCAGACTGCTAGCTTTGATGTAACTGTTTTGCCTTGAGATTCCAGATCAACAATAGTACTGTAGCACTGTCCTCCCGTTGTTCAGTTGTTCATCCATTTGCTCGAGCGGGCACCAGTAATGTCTCCATTGTGAGACTTGTTACTGTTTTTGGCATATCAAATATGTCACGGGTATCTTGCCAGGCTTTGCTGTGTGGGCGGATACTCTCGGTAGGTTGCACAATTTTATATGGGGCCAAAGAGATAAAATAGTGGGTAGGGCACTTGTCTTGCAGGTGGCTGACCTGAATTCTATCCCCAGCACCATATAAGAGCCCCGCCAGGAGTGATTCCTCAGCACAGAGCCAGCAGGAAGCCCTGAGTACCACTGGGTGTGGCCACCAAATACAAATTAATTAATTGATTGATTAATTAAACATTTTCCCAGAAAACAGGAGTTTGCATACAGACACCACAAAATGCCAAGTGATGTGCAATTGGGAGTCCAGGCATGAGGTGATGAGAATTGTTTTCTTTTTCAAATAAAACCTTATTGCTACTGCAATGTGGGCAAATATGGCACTAAGAGGGAAGTGTCTAATAAGGCAAAGTATCTCACAAGCAAGAAGGGTTACTAATAAACCCTTCCTCCTTCCTATACAATTATCTATCTTCCCTGAACATATGTGTAGAGAAAAGAAAATAATTCTGATAAGAATTTCACGTTACCTATAAGAAGCCATGCGTAACACTTCAAAATAACTTTTGAGTCAAGAAGGAAATCAAAACTGTAATTACAGAATATTAAAAATTCATAACGTAGAAATACTACACATAAAAATATGAGAAGCATCCT